GGAAGGAGTTGCAGGGGAGGGAGTGGGCATGGATTTGATCAAAACACCTTACATGCTTATATGCCTGTATGAAATTCTCAGTAAATTATTTTTTTAATTAAAAAAAAAGAACACAGAAGTGTGGATAGCAAGCATCCTTACAGTAAGTCCTTGCTCTTGGGACCTAAAGATTGAGTAGCGTGAATGAGCAAGCACACACACACACATACACACACACACACACACACACACACACACACATACACTCAAATTTAAAAGTTTTCAGAAAAAATGTCATGCCTTGGTACTTACACATATTAGATTCCCTGCTCATGGTTCTAATAATTTTTTAAATAAGAACTTCACAGGGAAACTTAAGTGGATAATTTTATGCTTTCTAAGTTATTTTACAAATAACTGACCAATTGCTGTGTCTAGTCTGGGAACTGGCCCTGTGTAGTGTTCATGGAAAAGAAGAATTCAGAGCCATGACCTGTTAGGTATTCTCAAGTTTCTCCCCAACCTGCTGCCCTACCTTGAGGCCAGTGGAGGCCAGGTGTGGTGGCACAGGCTTATAATCCCAGCACTCAGGAGACTGGTGCAGGATGATAACTACAAGTATGAGGGCAGCCTGGTCTACACAGCAGTCCTAGGTCAGCCAAGGCTACATAATGAAACCTTGTCTCCAAAAAATCAGACTAAACGAAACAAACAAAAAGGCAAATAGTAAGAGGCCAAAACAGGAATGCTGATCAGAAAGCCATTCTGATATTGAATAGGACAGATAAATCATAAGACACGGTAAGGAACACTGGGAAAAGGAAGTGGAGAAAATAAGACAGTGCAAAAAGGCACATGGAGATGGCTCAGCAGTTAAGAGCACTGACTGCTCTTGCAGAGGACCCAGGTTCAATTCCCAGCACCCATATGGCAGCTAGAACCATCCTTAACTCCAGTTCCAGGGGAATCTGAAGCCCTCTTCTGACCTCTGCAGCACTGTATAACACAGGTGCACTTACATACATGCAGATAACACACTCGTACACATAAAATAAAAATAATAAATAAATTATATTTTTTAAAAAGGCACATGGTTCTCTCTTCACAACGTTGCAAGGGATCAGCTCTGACAAGCAAAGTTCCAGTGTGTGAATGGGAGAGCAGCATGGAGACCAAGTTCAGATGTGAGGAAGGGGGTTCAGGCCTCCAAGGTCTTCTGCCAGCCTCAAGAGCCACAGGGTATGACAATTGGACTGGAGGCGGTCTCAGCACTGTCTGGGTTCTGCAGAAAGCAGAAAAACCTCAGGTTCTCTAAAACTGGAAAGACCAGGTAAATTATGAGTTCAGGAAATGGATGGTCATTTTGCTAAAGTATTAAGACCATAATAACAATGCCAGACAATACAGAGAAAGGGCATTAGAAATCTCATTTTCTATGAGACCTCAAAACACTGGTAATCTTTCTAACTTTCAGATTGTGTCTTATATAACCCAGACCTTTACTATTCACATGTAACCTACCATTGCCAGGATGAAAAGATGCTTCAGAATTGCTAACACCTTCCAAGACAGAAGCTTAAGTAGGGCTCTATCTGTCTTCCCAGAAGTGACAGGTTCCAACATGCTGAGGGCTCAGGAATTCAATGATTATAAACTCCAAAGGCAGGTTTTTCCGTTTAAAGCCAGCAGCAAGATAGTGAAAGAGGGTTAAGGTTTACAAGCTACAACATAGCCAAGGCCTTTCTTGCTGGTTCTGACTATTATTTGTAGGAAAAGAAAGATAGAAATAAGGTTTTGGGGGTGCTGAGGAGATGGTTTGGAGAGTAAAAGTGATTACACTGCAAACATGAGGGCCTGAGTTCAAATCGCTAGCACCACCTTAAAATGTCAGGCATGGCTGCACATGCCTGTAAGCCCAGCACTGATATGTATGGGGCAGAGACAGGCAGATCCCCAGAGCTTGCTGTCCAGCCAGCCTAACAGAAACAGAGAGCTTCCAGTTCAATGAGACCCTGCCTCAATAAGACAATAAGGCAGAGAACAGAGGAGACTTCCAGCATCTTGCTCTGACCTCCAAACAGGTGTGTACACCTGCATACTCATGCACGCAAGACACACACACATACACACACACACACACACACACACACACACACACACACTGACACAAAGAAACACAAAATGAGACTTTCAGAATGATGGTCTATTTCTTTTTTGTTTCCTCCCACGAAAGGAGCTTTATGTACCATAAAAGCAAAAGTTTTGACCTCTATTACTGACTAGTCAATCATCATGATGGCAATAATAAATGATCCTCTCCGCAGTGTTCTTGAACTTAATGTGCACCAGTCACCTGAGATTTTTTTGGGATGTGGCTCTGATTCAGTGGGTCTGAGATGAGGGCTGAAGTTCTGTGTTTCTAACATGCTTCTAGTGTTGCTGGTCCAGGAACACTTTGACTAGCAAAGCTGCATAGTTTACAAGGGACTCTTCTCAGTGCCTATCCTTCCATGTAGAAGGGAATCTATCACCTGTGAGGCTCTTCAGGAAACATACCTTAATCCAGCAAATCACTAAACCAATGTAACTACAAAAAAATAGTACTAATCCAGGCAATATATCATGTGTCACCCAAAAATATAACCGGATATCAACCACATGATCACTAGTTGCTCCTGGACTTTTCCAGAAATGTTTCCTACTTGCCCGGCACACAGAAAGCTCAACAAATATTTGCAGTATGCATAAGCAAACAAATAAATGTATGAATCAATGAATAAATGTACAGAAGAGAGAAGTGGACTGCGAGAACTTGGTGTCCAGTTGGTCCCTATGTATATGTAAATGGTCTTGTAAAGTCTTCTGCAAGTCATCTATTTGGGGATGATATAAAGCCACCAACAGACTTACTAAAAGAGAGGAGTGGAGGAGGAAGAGAACTGGAGGTGGCACGGGGAAGAGGGGAGCAGAACATACAGAGGCTAACTGCTAGAGATCATTGAGCCCCAGACATAGTGCTCAGCACCTTCACCTGCACTGTTCATTTACTCTTTTCTAAACCTTTGTGAATTAGGGATTATGAGTTCCATCTTACAGCTGGGAACCTAAGGCACAGAAGACAAGTAACCCAAGCTATTCCAGGTTAAGGAGGAGGAAGCAGGCTTTGGACTGAAGCCAGGGAATCCTCCAAGCCTGGTTCTCAGAGCAGCACACTAGTTCACTGGCTGGCACCCAGCCACAGCAAGCCTGACTCCACCGCTCTGATCCATTTGCAAACAGGAGTCCTCCTGAATTGGCATGGCTATATGACCTCTCTAAATTGGATAATAACAGCTTAAAAGACTGGATATTTTTGTCGCATGTATTTTTTTATACTGATGTACCTGACCTGGAAGCTCTATGCAGGGTTTTTTCCCTAACTTTCTTCAATTAAGAAGTAAACCAACTACAGTGAAAATAGAAGGGAGTGCTTTTAAATAGTTCAAAGGACACACAGAAAGAATTCTCACATAACACCTTACCTAGAAGGTTTGAAGGCTTGTATTTTGCCACATTTGCTTATACCTCTCTTTCTCTCTGGTTCTCGTTCTCTCTCTCTCCTCTCTCTCTCTTCTCTCTCTTCTCTCTCTCTCTCTCTCTCTCTCTCTCACCATTTTTTTCAGAATCATGGGAGAAAAGCTAATAGACTTCCTTCCTGTATTCCTAAATGCATCAGCATATAATTCTTAAGGACAAGGCTATTCTCTTCCATGATCACAAGCAACCAATGGCTTCAGGAAAAGTTATGGTTAATTTAATGCCTTTATCTAATCTACCATTCTGCAACCAAGGCTGTCATTTGGCTCATTGATAGCTTTTATAGACAGAGGTAGTATGTTTTAATGGCTGAATGCATACAAAGAACTGATATGAGTAATTAAGAATTAATATGAGCAGAGTGCTTCGGCATCCAGAGACCCATTTGGTCAAGTTATCTCATTTGGCTCCCATCTTGCCTCTCTGAGATCCGGTGGCAGCACTGTCCTTGTGTTACTCAGGATGGAAATGAGACTGAGGAGCCTGAGTGCTCAGGTCACTCTCTCCCTTCTCAGCACAGCTTGGTACTGATTTTTAAAGACTTTCATTTTAGTACCTGCCAACAGACTGACCACTAACCCAAACACTTTAAACTCCTAAAATAAATATTATTTGAGTGTTTCTCTCTCTAACCATTTACTTTTCTGTTAACCTACAGACTAATCAGCACACACAGCTACATCTTCAGGAATAATACTGAACTACCACAAGGGATCACACTGATGTGAATAGGGAGACTGGAAGGTTGGCATTTGGAGACTGACCACCTCAGCACCTGCCCAACTGTACTGAATCCATCCCCCTCCTATGCAGAACTCTAACCTCCAACCAGTAAAATATCCTGTTTCAGACGTGGCTTGAATGTGGAAGGCAGAGACACACTAATATCTCTCCCTGGGCACAGGAAAGCATTAGTATGCAGGTGTGGAGGTAGTTTCTCAGTCTTTAGCAGCAGTCTAAAAATGGATGCACTGTCATAAACCTGTCTTCTAAAGAGTAAAGCAGTGCTTTTAGAAATGGAACTATGGGGTTCAAATCCTCTTCCATTTAGTTCATTTGCTTTGGGCCAGTTCCCAAACCCAGTTGGATTGTCATTCCATCATCCACACACTCAGACAATCAAACACAGAGCAGGGGTGGGGGGAGGACAAGCTAGGAGCCTGGCACAGGGAGGCCTCCTACTCATGCTGCCTGGAGGCACCGAAGGTCTTCAAAGATGGCCTGGCTTCTCACAGGTAAACCTCTACTTTCAAAGAGCTCTGAAGGAGCAGAGCCAGGCTGGTCTGCAAGTATGAGTGAAGCATGAAGAAGAGGGAGCTGACTGAAAGTCTTCATGGACTCCTGCCTGTCAAGAATACAAAGTGACAGACCACCTTTGCATCAAGTGCTGTTTCAGGTCAGGGGCAAGAATTCTTCTTGTGTGGCAGGAAGAACAAAATATTTACCTTTTCCAGGGCCTCTTTGTCAAGCAGTTCTTGCACAGCTAGAAGTTTGATGCTGTAAGAAAAAAATTAAAACCACACTTGAAACAAGTTATTTCATGTCACCAAGCATCATAACACAGGTCATAAGAACAAGAGTGTGAAATTTCAGCCTGTACTTTTATGTCACCTCCCACTTGAAGGTGACCTTTTGTTTGATTCAAAATGACCATTCCAAAAATATTTTAAAAGTTTCTATGTTCTAAAAACAATTTTACCAAAGTATTCAGCAATTCCATTTTTAGGTATATCCCCCAAAGAGTTGAAAGAAGGCACTCAAAAAGGTGTTTGCACACCAATGTTCATAGTAACACTATTCATAATAACCCAAAGGTCGAAACAACCCAATGTCCATCAGCAGATAAATAAACAAAAGTGGTGCCTATATTCAGTGACTCTATTATACAGCCTTAACAGGATGGATGTCCTAATATATGCTACAACATAAATGCACCTTAAAGACATTCAACTAAATGAGGTAAGTCACTGACAAAAAGACAAATTTGGAATGATCCCACTTCTATGAGGTACTGAGTGACCAGGCTGATTGAGACAGCGGGGTGAATGATGCTTTCCCAGGGCTGGGGGTCAGGGAAATAAGTAGCAATTGTTTAACTAGCACAGAATTTCAGTTTGGGATAAAGAAAACACTCTAGAGATGGATGGTGGTGATGGTTTCATGCCACTGAACTGAGTGCTTAATGATGGTTAAAATGGTAAACTTTGTTATGTGCATTTTGCCACAAAATATCCTTAAAGTGACCAACAGCTGCTTCATGCAAGAACTAAATAACTTCTGAGGAATATAAAGAAGATGATAATTACCTGTGCTCAGTATTTATCTTCCCTTAGGATCTCTTTGGTGATAATGAGTAAAGTTAAAATTACACATTGCCACTTGGTAGCTATGGTCGGATTAGAATACGGTGTGCAGTGTGATGGGGGGATGTGCAGAGATGCTGAGAGGGACCTGGCTCTGTAGAGGTCACAGAAGGTTTCCTAGAGGGACCTTGCCAGGGAAGGTGGAAGAAAGACCATTTGCAAAGGAATTTACAAAGACACCAAAAGGAGTGGGTAACGTTCCAGTTTCCAGGTTAGGGGCTGGAACCTGGACTGCAACCAGCAACCAAGAGGATTATAGGGAAGATACTTTCTGTTTTAGACTTGCTGCCTCTGAAGTTCTCAGGGAGCATGAGCAGATAGTTGAGAATGTAGGGAAGGCCTGGGCTAGATTCAGGATGTGGGTAGAAGCCTGAGAATTCACAGAGGGCGCGGGGAGCAGTCAGCTGTGGATTGACTCATGACACTCCCTCCCCAGGGCTGATGTGCCTTGGGTCCTTGGTCACTATAGTCCCCACCCTACAGGTTCTGCTGAGCAGAGGTGGACCCCACCTCTGATGGGATGATGCCATTGAAGGGTCATCTTACAGACATTTTCACTCTCTTAGTACAACTAAGCAAGTGCATCCTATCAAATGCAGTAGCTTAAAAGCAGCCCCGGGAGGGGCAATACATGCTTCAAAGCTTCTAAGAAACCTACCACCAACTCCATCCATAATTTGGCACATGTGAGGGCTAAGTAATAGACTGCCTCAGAGCATTCTCTCTACTCCAGCCTTACCAACCTTCCTTCCATCCACTGGACAGATTTGCATTTGCTGTTTCTCAGACTAGGGGGAATCTGTGCTGTCTCCACACAGCTTCCCTGGATAACCAAGTAGAGTATCCCTACTTGGAGCATGCTGTTTTCCTTGGGATGTTTACTGTTGTCTTTAAAGTTTTCTTTCCTGTGGCACTTCTGTCTCTCTCCTCCCAACTATGGAAGCACTTTGTGGCTGAGGACTCAGACATTCTTGCCCATAGCTACATTTGCAATGTCTACAACTGGCATGTGTAAAACACAAGGAGTATTTACTAACTTCATGGGTCCAGAAGCCTAAGGACCAAGCTATTGTTTTTGTAGCTCACATATTCCAGTGTGGATGGGTAAAATCACAGGTCATGCCTCAGTTTTTCCATCTGAAAAAAGAATGCCTTAAAGTTGATGTTTGGACAAATTCACCCTGGGCAAAAGTCACTAAATGTGGTTGTGTAACTGACTGTCACTAATGAAATACACCTAGTGGCAGCCTTAAAGCCATTGGTCCCTCCTCAGTACATTCTGACTGCCAGTGCACAAAACTAAGATTCTAGGTTAGCAATTTAGACAGCAACTTATATGCTAAGCTAGGAATATTCAATAGTAGCTCAAGTTACAGATTAAGTTGCCTCTGAAGTAAGTACTGGAAAATATCTATTGTGGAGGGACGTCTTAAATAGTCTCTCCTTCCTGCCTGTTTGTGATCATGAGGTCTGACCCAGTATCAAATGTCAGCTTACAGGAGAGGTGAAAGCTGTGAAGCTCTTTGGCTCCCTTTCTTCCCCTACTCCAAGATACCACCTTCAACCCACTGAAGAAGACTATCTGAAAGCTCTAGAGGAAAATGAACTTGACCTCCACTGACTCCTAGGTAAAAAGATAAAGGCTTACACCCTACTCTGATCTTATTGTGCTCTAGAACAGGGGTGGCAAATACCTGGAAACCATGTGGCTCCTCTCCATCCCTTGCCACCTCTTTCCATAGAATCTCCCTTCACCGAACTTACATTTAACTTCAGAATCCTTCTCAACACCTTAGCAAGCCACAACCAGTCTACTGAAATTGGTATGTGAGCACACATCCACTTAATGTGTGCTCTAAAACCAATACTAGTAAAAAAAAAAAAAAAAAAATCCAGACCCAAAATGGGACAATGGGAGGGACAGAGGGAGTGATGACGATGATGATAAGACACTCAGCTCTAGACAGCTTGAGCTTCAGGACAAGAATGGTTGTGTAAGTACGAGCACTGGTCCAGTGTCTTTGGGGCCCTTCAGCAAGCTGTGCCTCTTCCTCCCTGGCCTCAGAGAGCTGAAAGGAGCTAGGATGCTGTTGAGGTACATGCTCGGGGGCAGGAGTGGGTGCTTTTGAGAATCTCCAGGTTCCAAAGTCGATCTGGACCTCAGTGTGTGTGTCTGCAGACGGCCTGGCACCTGATCAGCATCTTCTGAGGGCATCAGATCCTGATCATGTGGATGCTGCAAATGAGCTGCAATTTTCTTTCCTGCACTCCACATAGAGGGGAGAGAAAAGTCTCATGAAAGCAGTTGCTGGAACTGATTTAATTCAAAAAAGCCAGCCTCAAGGGCAAGTTCTAAATGTATGCAACATTTAAAAACACCTAGAATGCATGCAATTAACACTTGCTATATAAGCCTCAAGAAGGCAAGGTACTAGAGGGCATTGTCTTTTTTTGAAGGATATCATCTGGCACAGTGAGGTCTCTAAGATTAGAAATGGCAATGGGGAAAGAGACAGGTTCACTGATACTGAAGAAAAGTACCGGCCTGTAAGAGAGAAGTCAGAGCATGGCTGAAGTCTGGGTGGCTCAGAGTCCCAGGCTGAATGAACTTCAGTAGCCCCTGAGAGACACAGATGAGAGTACTCAGTGCATGGGACAAATCCATAATAACATGTAAAAGTCCTCTCACACACAAGGCACTACTAGGCACTGAGGAGATACTGAGGAGCAAGGGTAGCTTTTGCCTTCAGGCATCTGAAGCTGATAGAAGAACCAGATAATCACCTCAGCCACATGAGAAGTACTCTGCAGGTTCAAATAAGCACTATGCAACCTGCTGGAAGGACACCAGGCAAAGCTGGGAGGCTCCTTTTTCATTTTGTTTGTGGCAGGGTCTAGCTACGCAGTCCAGGCTGGCTTGAATTCATGACCTCCCACCTCAGCCTCCGGAGTATATGCCACTATGCCATTTCAGCAGTTTTTTGAATGAATGGATATGGGAAAGTCAAGAGAAATCCCATCTCAATTTCTAGCTTGTAAGGCTGGGGGCTGGAGGGAACATGTAGTTAGGGGGTAAACACTGGTGATTGACATCAGGGACACTCTGATACTTGGGCCTCGGGGCCTTGGAGTGGAGCATGAAATAGTAACTGCCTGTAGCTCAGCAAGTTCTGGGCTCCAGATTTGGACATGAAAGAAAGATAATGCTAAAGGAGTTAGCTTACACCAGAGGCCAAACAGGTGTCCTAGGCCACAACCATTTAAGAGCCAGGAAGAAAAGTGCACAGTGGTGCACATATATTAATATGATCCCAGCACTTGGGAGGATGAGGCAAGAAGAATGACATCTCCAAGCCAGCCCGGGCTACAAAATAAAATAGTGAGTTCTAGGCCAGCCTGGACTACGGAGTGAAAACTTGTCTTTTTTTTTTTTTTTTTTTTTTTTATTTGCTACTAAACGGAGATAGGGTCTCCGTGTACCCTAGCTGGCCTGGAACTTGCCTTGGAATCACAGAGATCTGCCTGCCTCTGCTTTCTGAGTGTTGAACTAAAGGCGTGTGCCACTCCCCACCACCCTACCCCCTGGCTGAAAACTTGTCTTAAGAGAAAAAAAAAGTTTTCCAAGAAAGTAGAAGGAAGACCCAGAGCCCAGGGCTCAGGCCGCACTTTACAGAACAAAGGCTGGGACATGGAAGACGAGTGACCCCAGAGAGTGGCAGATGCACAGTTCAGTGGGTCATAAGTGAACAGGCGGAAAAAAAGGAGAAACAGTGAAGTTAAAATCTAGGCAGAAGACACACTGTCTCCTCATAGCATGGTTCACCTTGCCAAGCAGTGGGGCACAGTCTCTCTCTTCTGCCCCTCCCTATTCATTCTGCTTGTTTCAAGGCTTTTCACTTTGTTTTGTTATGGTTTTTGTTTTATAGACAGGGTCTCATTCTGGAGGCCAAGCTAGAATTGATTCTGCTATATAGCCTTATACTTGCAGCAACCCTTGGGCCTCAGTCTTCCAAGTCCTGGGATGAGAGGTATGAGCCACAATGTCCAGCCCTGCCCTTGATAAGATCATAGAACTCAGTTTTGCTCAGAGAATTTGATCACCATTTGCATAATATGGTGAAATATAAAGGTTCA